TCCTCCTCGGCCCCGTGCCCCTCGCTCCTCTGCCACCGCTGCCTCTGGCAGAACCTCCCTGCTCGGCCCAGCGCGCGCTGAGAGCGACTCGCCTGTCTCCAGGCTTGCGGGGGACACTCGCGACCCTTCTCAGGGCAGTGCATCCTCCTTGAATTGGACTCCGGGCCGTCCTCCTGCCTCCTGTGCTGAGGTCAGTGGGGCTGGGGCTGGGGCTGCTCACGGCTGGGTCCTGCCATGGCGTCCGCGTGTGGCGCGGGTCTCCTGGGCGCCGCCCTTTCTGGCCGGAGTCAGAGCGGGGGCCACCCGGCCTCTGGAGCGTGAAGGTGCTGAGTGTGAGGCTCCTGTGGTCCTGTGGGGACGTGGGGGACAGCGGCTCGGCCTGGAGGGGCCCTCTGACAGGTGGACGCTGGGTGCCACCTGGTTCTGCTGGACCTCACGGAGGTTCTCTGTTGTGCGGTGAGGGACCCCCACTGGCTTCTGTCGTCTGGCCTTGGCATCGGTGAGCTGGCCTCAGGTGTGAGCCTGCAGCGGTCCCTCGGTCTCCACTCTGGGTGTCATGGTGCAGGATGGTGTCCCGCGTGGCCCCTCCCTCGAGAACGGGCAGGTGCCTCTGTTCCGTCCCCCCTCCCCTGGCAGCAGGGCCTCCCCTTGGTCTGCGGAAGCCGTCTGGGGTGTGGACGGCTCCTCAGGCCGCGTCTCAGCAGCGTGCTGGGAGGGTCAGCGTGGGCTGGACGGCTCCTCGATGGTCGTGGTCCCAGAGGGCTGCCAGGCCCCAGGCGGGTGGGGCCCCAGGAGCCGGCGCCTTCCCTCTCTCCCGGGCGCTGCCTCCAGCCTGCAGAGCTTGTGCCCACAGCCCAGGCGGCCACTGCCAGATGACCTGCACGAGGGCCTCTTGCCTGCCTGCCCCCCGGGCGATGGGCTAAACGTCCCTGGGCTGGTTTCGGCAAGTTATTTATTTATGGCAAATTGCGGAAATAAATCTTTTACTGTTTGGCCCAGTGTCGGGGGGATTCTGGGGAGTCAGCCGCCTGCGTCTGCGTTGGACAGCCACGCAGAGAGGCCAGGACCTCAGGGGCCCCCTGGCCTGTGCGGTGGGTCCAGGGCCTCAGGGGCCCCCTGGCCTGTGCGGTGGGTCCAGGGCCTCAGGGGCCCCCTGGCCTGTGCGGTGGGTCCAGGGCCTCAGGGGCCCCCTGGCCTGTGTGGTGGGTCAGGGTGCGTCAGGGGCCCCCTGGCCTGTGTGGTGGGTCAGGGTGCGTCAGGCCTCTCTCGGGGCTGTCCTCTTTCCGCCCACCCCTGGTCCTCTATGTGTGCATTTGTACCTGGGGCAGAAATTTGCAACTCAAGCCCAAGAAAGGAGGCTGACGTGGCTGAGCGCGTGTCGCGTGGTGACGTGGCTGAGCGCGTGTCGCGTGGTGACGTGGCTGAGCGCGTGTCGCGTGGTGACGTGGCTGAGCGCGTCGCGTGGTGACGTGGCTGAGCGCGTGTCGCGTGGAGATGCCAAGCGGGTGGCTTCCCGCTGTCCCCTGTGCACCCCTGCTCTAGTCAGCCTCCACCTCTGTGACGTGAAGGCAGGTCACCTGGAGAGGAGGGCAAGTCTGCGTGGCGCTCAGGGCTCCAGAGGTCTGTCCACGGAGGGCCAGCTCCCCTCCTCAGGGCTGCGGTCAGGCAGGACATCGTGGCGGAGGGACGCAGCTCACGGGTCATCAGGAAGCAGACTGCACTCTCCAGAGCCCACGGCCCAGTGACCCCTTCCTCCTGCCACACCCCGGCCTCCAGGTGCCACCCAGCTAGGGACCCATGACTGATCAGGTCCTGGCTCTGGCCAGTCTGCACCTCCTCGCGTCTCTCCCGCGAGCTTTGGGCACTCGTCCAAACCACGACAGCCCCTGTGGGAGGGTCAGTGGCGCTGGCTGCGTGAGCCCCGCCAGCGCTTAGTGACCACAGTTCACTGCCCAGCCACCCCTCTGGGACGCGTCTGGGCTCTGGCTGGGGGAGTCTTCGGCAGGCTCCTTCGCATCTGTGGTCACCGAGATGGCCGGGCACAACTGCTGTGGGCTCTGGTCACCGAGATGGCCGGGCACAACTGCTGTGGGCTCTGGTCACCGAGATGGCCGGGCACAACTGCTGTGGGCTCTGGTCACCGAGATGGCCGGGCACAACTGCTGTGGGCTCTGGTCACCGAGATGGCCGGGCACAACTGCTGTGGGCTCTGGTCACCGAGATGGCCGGGCACAACTGCTGTGGGCTCTGGTCACCGAGATGGCCGGGCACAACTGCTGTGGGCTCTGGTCCCCAGGGTGTGTCACGGGGATGAGGTTCAGAGCAGCAGAGGGGCCTCCCACAGTGGAGCCCGCCCATACTGCCCTGCTCCGCACCACGCCCTGTGGCCCGGCCACCCCGGGCAGCGGCCACCCCTGGACAGGTCTCAGGGTGAGGCTGGGCACCCTGCAGAGGGTCAGGGTGGGGCTGGCTGTGGTTTCCAGCACACGGACGGCTCCTCAGGTTTGCAGGAAGCAGGTGCAGGTGGGCCTCACGCCCGTGGGGTGGCCCGTCCCCTAGGATGGCCAGAGCCCAGTGTGGGGTGACGGGCTGAGCCGTGCCACCCGCCTCCTGGGGCTGGTCAGCCCAGGCGCAGGGCTCCTCCCCGGGGTCTGGCGCACCCAGGCTCAGGGTTGAGGCTGTGGGCGCTGCGGCAGCCTGGGTCCTGCCGCCAGGACGGGCAGAGGGGTGGGAGGGTGGGGTCCCCAGGTCCCCACGAGAGCTCGGGAAGGGCGGGGGTGGGGCATGGGGACATGTGCCGCTGCAGAGGCCCCGCGCTGAGGCGGCCAGCCACAGCCCAGCCGGGAAGGCGAAGGCCACGAGGACCCTGGGCTGAGGAGCAGGGGTCAGGGGTGGAGGACCCTGGGCTGAGGAGCAGGGGTCAGGGGTGGAGGACCCTGGGCTGAGGAGCAGGGGTCAGGGGCGTGGAGGACCCTGGGCTGAGGAGCAGGGGTCAGGGGCGTGGAGGACCCTGGGCTGAGGAGCAGGGGTCAGGGGCGTGGAGGACCCTGGGCTGAGGAGCAGGGGTCAGGGGCGTGGAGGACCCTGGGCTGAGGAGCAGGGGTCAGGGGCGTGGAGGACCCTGGGCTGAGGAGCAGGGGTCAGGGGCGTGGAGGACCCTGGGCTGAGGAGCAGGGGTCAGGGGCGTGGAGGACCCTGGGCTGAGGAGCAGGGGTCAGGGGCGTGGAGGACCCTGGGCTGAGGAGCAGGGGTCAGGGGCGTGGAGGACCCTGGGCTGAGGAGCAGGGGTCAGGGGCGTGGAGGACCCTGGGCTGAGGAACAGGGGTCAGGGGCGTGGAGGACCCTGGGCTGGGCAGGTGGAGCAGGGGTCAGGGGCGTGGAGGACCCTGGGCTGAGGAGCAGGGGTCAGGGGCGTGGAGGACCCTGGGCTGAGGAGCAGGGGTCAGGGGCGTGGAGGACCCTGGGCTGGGCAGGTGGAGCAGGGGTCAGGGGCGTGGAGGACCCTGGGCTGAGGAGCAGGGGTCAGGGGCGTGGAGGACCCTGGGCTGAGGAGCAGGGGTCAGGGGTGGAGGACCCTGGGCTGAGGAGCTGGGGTCAGGGGCGTGGAGGACCCTGGGCTGAGGAGCAGGGGTCAGGGGCGTGCTTGGGCAGGAGATGTCCCCCTGCCCCTCTGCAGACCCGGGACGCAGCGCGGCCGGGAGACCTTGGCCCTGTGCTAACGAGAGGAGTCCCCCAGGTCGGAAGGACGGGGACCGTGACAGGACGGAACGCGAAGTCCCGGCAGAGGGGAGGCAGGGGAGGGCAGAGCCCAGGGCACCCCTGCCTGGACTCAGGCCACCGTCTTGCACCCGCTGTCCCGGGGCCAGGGGGCTGTGTCTGTGGTCAGGTGCCCACCAGGGCTCTGGGGGACCCGAGGCTCTGGGCCCCTGGCTGGCTGTCGGGTGACGGTTGCGCTCGGTCCCTCCACTGGGCGCGTCCCCAGCCCTTGTTGCTTGCTTTTCTTAGTGTTCTGGGTTCTTCAGTTCTGGTGGACACCACGTGTTCATTGGTTTTTTACGCGGTGCTGAGGATGGAACCCAGCGCCCCGCGCAGGCCAGGCGAGCGAGCGCGCCATTGAGCCGGTCCCCAGCCCCCTGTTGCTTTTTGAGACAGACGGCGGTCCTCCTGCCTCGGCCTCGCGGCCTGGGACCTCAGGGGTGTGCCCGGCTTTCCCCCTCCTGAGGGGCGCCTTCTCCTGGGGCAGCCGGGGCTGGGTGGCCAGCCGGGGCTGGGCGGCGCGGCTCCCTAGTTGGGGCACGGGCTCCCTTGCAGGCCCAGGTCAGTGCCTGGGCACCCTCTCAGGGCCCCCCCTCGGTCAGTGCCTGGGCCCCTGCAGGTGCCCTGTCCTGCTCTCTGTCTGCCTGTCTGTCTGTGAGCCTGGCCTGGACTGGTTCTGAGGGTTGGTCAGCAGCCTGGAGGGCCAGGCCCTGCTGAGGGCAGCCAGCGTGGGCACATGCATCTTCCTCCTGCTGGGGACAAGTGGGAGGCCCCTGTGCTGCCCTCGATGTGCCTTGAGCCAGCTGCCCACGGCCCTGCTCTCCCCCATGTGGGCTGGACCCTGGGCTCCTGGGCTCCTGGCAGTGTGTGAACTGGACCTCAGAGAGACGCTGGACCCTGACCCCTCTCAGGCTGAGAAGCACATGTTGGCCTTCCGCTGCAGTGGGCTGGCCAGGGAGGGTGCGGCCAGGCAGGTGGACCCCTGTGTCCAGCGTGGGGCGGGGCCCAGGGGCCTGCGGGGAAGGAGCCAGCCGTGTCTGGCCCCAGGTGCAGGCCGCAGGGTTTGGTCGTGCAGGGACGGTCATCGCCACAGTTCCGTGAGGGACGGGCCTCTGGGTCCCCGTGCTGTGGCCAGGCCCAGGCCCCCCTGAGGAAGACTTGTTTGTGCTCAGGGGACGAGCCACGTGACTCAGGGTCACCGCCTGAAGCTCCCGCTGCTGGGCGGCCCCTCCTACAGGAGGGAGAGGGGCACCGAGAGGGGAGGAGTAGAGGCCCTGCTCAGTGCAGGCAGCTGGGTCCTGCTGCTGGGTCCTGCTGCTGTGTCCTGCTGCTGCGTCCTGCGTCCTGCCCGCTCCCTCAGCTCGGCCGGGCCTGGGAGGGGCGCCTGCCGCCTGCCGCTGCCTCCCCCGCCCGCCTTCGCCATGCGCCCTTCTCAGCCTGTGGAATGCGCGCGGCCCTGGGCCGGTCCCCAGAGCGCCTGGCCGGGGACGCATGGAGCTTGCTGAGCCTGGCGGCCCCCCCGAGTTGACCACCGGCCCCGGCTCTGCCCCGTCCCGAGAGCGCGGTGCCCGGCCTGGCCCCCGGAGGCCCATGCGAGCCGACGGCATGCGGCTCAGGGACCTGTCCCTTCGCCAAGACCCGGACCTGCGGCAGGAGCTGGCCTCGCTGGCCCGGGGCTGTGACTTTGTGCTGCCCTCCCGCTTCAAGAAGAGGTTGAAGGCCTTCCAGCAGGTGGGTGGGCGCTGAGGGCCGGCCCCAGGAACGGTCTGGGGGTCCTGTGTCCTCGCCAAGGGAGGGTGAGGAAGGGGCTCCCCAGAGGTGGGGCGGGGGCCTGAGGGCTCCCAGCAGTGGGCACATCGTGACTTGAGGGGCTCCCAACAGGTGGGGCGGGGGCCTGAGGGCTCCCAGCAGTGGGCACTTCGTGACTTGAGGGGCTCCCAGCAGGTGGGGCGGGGGCCAGCTGTCCTGTGCCCAGGAGAGGCCTGAGGGCTCCAACAGCTGTGTCCAGGGACTTGAGGGGCTCCCAGCGGGTGGGTCAGGCCCCCTGCCGTCCTGTCCCCTGGAGTTGGGGAACCTGGAGGGCCCCGGGACCTTTGAGTGCCGACTCCAGGAGGGTGGATGTGAATAGGAGGTGGCCGGGTGATAAACACTGCAGACACCCGCCTGGTCACCCTCCCGAGTGCCGCTGCCTCAGTCCTGGCCAAGCTGGGCTTAACAGCTCCTGGAGACCTCCGTCACAGCCACAGGGCCGGTCACCCGGCTGGGTGTGCAGTCGAGCGCTGGTCAGTGGGCAGTGCACTTGAACTTGAACCTTGCTTCCCACGAGCGCTCAGAGAAGCGCTGTCTGTGCCTGTGTCACCCACGGCCCTAGGGCGTCACGTGACTCGCGTGAGTCCTCCGTGCCCACCAGTGCTGCTGCCCTGTGGGTCTGGCTCCACGTGGATCTCCTGTGGGGAGCTGGGCAGGGTGCTGGGGGGCGGGGGCGGGGGCTGCGGGGCTGGGCTCCTCCGCGGCCTCGTGTGTGGGGCACCGGGCACGGGCAGCTGGTGTTGTGGGAGGCGGCCCTGGCTGAAGGGTCCAGCGGAGCCTCACTGTGGGGCAGACCGGCCCTGCCGTCCGCCCTGGCTTGCCTGGAGCTCCCCGCCGGCCTCTGGCTCCTGTGCACCCAGGAGCTCTCCTCGCACACTCGATTCTCCCTGCCTGCACACTCAGGGGTTCTCCCGCATCCCGCACACTCAGGAGTTCTCCTTGCACACTCAAGAGTTCTTGCACATGGTGGAGTTCCCCTTGCACACTCAGGCATTCTCCTAATACTCTCAGTTCTTACACACTAAGGAATTCTCCCTGCGCACTCAGGAGTTCTCCTTGCACACTCGGGCATTCTCTCTTCTCCTTGCATGCTTGGCTCTCCTTGCACGCTCAGTTCTCGCACGCTCAGGAGTTCTCCTTGCACACTCAGTTCTTCACCTGCGCACTCGGCAGTTCTCTGTCGGCCTGGGGCTCCTCTCGGGGCGGGGGTCCTGAGTTATTTTGGAGGCCAGTCTCCTTCCCGCCCTGCTGATGGGGGGGGCTGACCAGGTGGGGCCTGGGGAAGTGTCCAGGGCAGGAGGCCCGCGTTGGGCAGGTAAGCGGCCGCTCTGCCCGCCATACCTGGAGTGTGGTGGCTTCTGGTTGTGTCCTTGGTTCAGGCTCTGTGACTGCGTGGGGATGTTTACCGCAGGGTCCCCAACTCCAGGCGGAGCCTGTGGGGACCGTGGGGGATGGCACTTTAGAGGTCACGTTTGGAAGCTGGACGGCTCTGGCAGGCGGCTGCCTGGGCGTGGGCCTGAGACCCGGGCTGGGAATGGGTGCTCTCTACTGCGGTGACGGGTGACGGCAAGGTGCCGGGGAGGTGTCTGGCCTCCTTCGCTGCCAGCTCCTGAGGTCGGGGTTCTGTCATGGGGCCCAGGCCTGTCTGCCTGGACGTGGCCCGTGGGCAGGTGCTCAGCAGGCCCAGACGCTCCAGCCGTGGCCCTGTGCCGTCTCAGGGGTCCAGAGATGCCGCCCTTGGTGGCTGCGTGGTGCTGCTCTGGGGTGCTGCGCTGGCCCCCTGTAGCTAGGAGGCCACACCTGTGGGCCACAGGCCCTGCTTCTGCCTGGCTGCCCGCACCCTCAGCCCTGTCCTGTTCGCAGCTGACCCCGCTGCTGTCCTCTGCTGCAGGAGCGGAGAGGCCAGAGCTCGCCCGCTGCACGCCATTGCTGGGTTCCCGCCACTGTGACAGCCCGGCTTGGGGCCTGGGCGCCTGTGGGCCTTGGGGGGCTGGCCCTGGGCGAGCCCACGGCTGTCACGGCTGCGAAGCCCGGACCTCCGCCCGCCCCTCAGCTCTGTCCGCGCCTGTGCTCGACCCTGTCCTGACGACCGCCCACCTCCCCCTCCGTGGGCCAGGTGGTGCGACCACCAGGTGGGTCTGCAGGCTGCAGCGTCCAGCACCGGAGTGGCCTGCAGGCTCTGCAGACGCTGTCCTCGGGAGCCCTGCTGCCCTGCCCGGGGCCTGGGGGGCCTGTGTGGGTGCCGCCCCGCCCCAGCCCTGGCCCGTGCGACTCTCCCCGTGTCGTCACCTGTCCTGGTCACGCAGACGCGGTCCTGGGTCTCCTGCGGCCCTGCGGTCGGCACGCAGCGCAGCACTGTGCCCTGAGTGCAGTCTGCGTCCCAGCGCCCAGCTCTGCCCGGCACCTGGCCTCGGGGCTCCCGTGGGGACGCGCTGGTTCTCCACCCTCCTGGCTCCTGGCACCCGGAGCCCACCGCCACCCCGCCCTCCCTGGGTGGTGGACACGGGCGTCCCTCCGTGCTCGCCTGTCTTCCACAGTGGGGTCCACCCAAACTCGTCCGTGAGTCCCCCCTCCCCCCAGCCCGGTGCACGTGTCACCCGTCTTGCAGAGGGGTCAGGGCCAGGCCGTGTCCTCCTGTGGATCAGGGCCTCCACCCCCCGCCTCAGTCCAGAGGGACTCGTCCCCCCGGTGTCCTTCACCTGCCCTGGGCAGCTCCCCTGGACGTGAAGCCCTGGGCTGTGTGCACCTTTGCATGGACCCTTCACCCAGTGCCCCGACCTGGTGGGAGGTGGCCCTCGCGTCCTCGCTGTGCTCCTGGTCACAGCTTCCCCTGGGGCTGGGGCTCGGTGGGAGGAGTGTGCCTGGGTCACGGGGCTCGGTCCCCAGCGCTGCCAGGAGCGCCCAGGCCGCGGGTGCTGCCTGTGCCCAGCTGCAGCAAGGTGCTCCCGGGAGCGCTGGTCTCCGGGCCGAGAGGCCAGCTGCTGGCCTGCAGCGGGTCCTCCCACCCAACAGTGGCCACCGCCTGGGCGACAGCCCAGGAGACGTGGGTGTCCCCCGGCCCACCTCCCTCGTCACATACCCAGGGACCCCAGGCTTCACACTGCCCCTCAGAGTGGCCCCTCCTGGGGACGCTGCGTGCCTTCAGCCTACCTCGAGCATCTCTCTGGGCCTCTGTAGGGCGTCCCCTGCGCCGTAGCCCTGCCCAGCGTCCCCTCCTCGGGTGGTGCCGAGGGTCTCTGCTGCGCGTCCTGCTCAAGCTCTGTGCTCCCCCCCCCCCCCGAGGCCAGCCTGGTGAGACAGGTGTCTGCAGAGGCGCTGCCGCCAGGGTGGCCAGGTGCCTGCAGCTGTTTCCTTGTCTCTGCCCTCGGGGGGCACCTGTCCCTGCACCTGAGGAGGTGGCATTCATCTTACGCAGGGCTGTGGTTTTGCAGTGCGTGGACGTGTGTGTGCTGAGGCCAGAGGGTCCGAGGTGGGTCCGTGGTGGGCGGGCTGGCGGGCGGGCGCAGTGAGTGTGCCCTGGGCAGAACCAGAACTGGCCCTCTGAGGTGGGGTCATCTGTGTCGGTGGGGTCAGGGCACTCTCTGCACAGCGCCGACCAAGCCGGGCACTGGGGCGACTGGCCGCGGCTCTCCCTAGCGGGTCCTCAGTGGCAAGAGCAGGACCTAGCCAGGCCCTGTGCACGCACACACAGACGTTCTGCGGGGTGTTGGCCACGATGCGCAGCGTGACCACGGTCACTGTGGTCAGGGAAGTGTCTGCACACCCTCTGGAATCCGCCGAGACCCGCCTAGGGCTGGGAAGTGGCCCCTCCCCAGCTGTCCGCGTGTCCTGTGTCAGAGGAATGTCCTGCAGCTGTGCGGCCGGTCTATTTACGTCCAGGAGACTGAGCTGGTAAATCCCCGCATCCGTCCGTCCGTCCGCAGGCTGTTTTGGTCTTGTCCTCCCGCCCACCTGTTGGAGTCTGCTGGGCGGCCGGGCTCAGCCCTTGTCCCTGTGTCCCCGGACTCCCAGTTCCCCAGGCAGAGCCACCCCCTCTGCGCTGCGGCCGTGCGTCAGCCACCAGTGGACACAGCCACCCGTGGACGAGGAGGCCCTTCTTCCTGCTCGCTGGCCCTGAGCCCCCGCCGGGCCCTCTGCACTCTCCCGCGCCCTCGCTGACCCTCAGCCCCACGGGGTCTTCCTTGGCATTACACTGGTCCAGCACTGCCCACCTCTCCTGTGAGGGCACTCGGGGCCTTTTGTGTGGGCAGTAGCCCTTGTGAGAGGCTGGGGAGGCCCGTGGTGGCCCCTGGGCCTGTCTGACCCGGCAGGGTGTGCACCTGCGGTCGGCCGCCCACTGCTGAGCCTGGCTCAGGGCGGGGCCTGTGTGTGTGAGCTCTTGGTGACCAGGCCACAGGCCCCACCCAGAGGGCTTTGTGAGACCCGCTGCTTCCACAGGCCTCTCTGGAGACCCTCAGGGAGGGGAGGGTCTCCCTGCTGTGGGGGTGGGGAGCATCCTCTCCCATCCTGGGGGCCGAGGCTGCACCAGGGTCAAGGCCCCACCAGGGTCAAGGCCCCACCAGGGTCAAGGCCCCAGGGGCTCCTCCTGCGTCTGCAGCTCCTGGGCCCCAGGTGGGCTCACTGCGGAGTCTGCCTGTCTCCGGGCTCCCCCTCTGGCTCTCCTCTTCTGCCTCCGCCTCTTTTTTTCTAGTTCAGTGTCTGTGTGGTCTGCTGTGCAGGACCCCCAATGGGCCTGTGCCCGTTGCTGTGTCCTACGCAGATGGGGTGATCGGTCCTGAGGTTCTGAGTGTGCAGGTTGCAGGGCCGCGGGGGTCCTGCAGGCGCACGCGTGCACACACACACACACACACACACAGCAACAGCGTGTCTCTTTCTACGGCCCTCCTGTGCCCACATCCCTCTTCTCCCCCCGCCCCCACCCGCCCCTCTCCTAGTCTAAGGTGACTCCCTTGTCCCTAGTGCCCCCCGTGGTGGATTGACATCTGCACGTCAGAGAACGTCTGGCCCTTGGTCTGGGATTGGCTGAGTTTCTTAGCATGATGTTCTCCAGCTCCAGCCTCTGCTGGCAAATGCCATAGTTTCATTCTTCTTCAAGGCTGAGTAATGTTCCATTGAACACACAGACCACATTTTCTTTATCCACTCATCTGACCCGGGATCACGCCATCTAGAGCACGAGGTCACCCTGACCGGGACCACCCCATCTAGAGCACGAGGTCACCCTGACTGGGACCACCCCATCTAAAGCACGAGGCCACCCTGACCGGGACCACCCCATCTGCCTGCTGACCTTCACCGGAGGACATGGCTCAGCGTGGCCATGGTGGCTGGGCACTGTGTTTAGTGTTGCCTCCGGGAAAAGGCCCTGGGACACCAGCCTTGGCCACGGCCTCGCCCAGCGGCGGCCACTGTGTCTGGCTCTGTCCTGCCCGGGGCTGGGCATGCGAGGCCCACTGACCGGGAGGCGTGGCCTTGCTCCCGGTTTCCAGCATAGGCTGGCACTGCCCGGCCTGCCTTGGTCCAGCCCGGGGCCAGGTCAGCCGCGCTCGGGCTTTCCTTCCCTCACGCCCTGCAGGACTGACGCCTGAGCTCAGCCTGGCGACCCCTGCCCACGGCCGGCCCGCTCCCCTGCCCAACCCCTGCTCCATGGCCCCACTGCAGGCTGTGGGTGGTGCTGAGTGGACGTGCAGGTCCTTCACTGCTGTCAGTGCTGTGAGTGGACGTGCAGGTCCTTCAGTGCCGTGGGTGGTGGTGAGTGGACGTGCAGGCCCTTCAGTGCCGTGGGTGGTGGTGAGTGGACGTGCAGGACCTTCAGTGCCGTGGGTGGTGGTGGGTGGACGTGCAGGGCCTTCAGTGCCGTGGGTGGTGGTGAGTGGACGTGCAGGTCCTTCAGTGCCGTGGGTGGTGGTGAGTGGACGTGCAGGGCCTTCAGTGCCGTGGGTGGTGGTGAGTGGACGTGCAGGTCCTTCACTGCTGTCAGTGCTGTGAGTGGACGTGCAGGCCCTTCAGTGCCGTGGGTGGTGGTGAGTGGACGTGCAGGTCCTTCAGTGCTGTGAGTGGACGTGCAGGTCCTTCAGTGCCGTCGGTGGTGGTGAGTGGACGTGCAGGTCATTCAGTGCCGTGGGTGGTGGTGAGTGGACGTGCAGGCCCTTCAGTGCCGTGGGTGGTGGTGAGTGGACGTGCAGGCCCTTCAGTGCCGTGGGTGGTGGTGAGTGGACGTGCAGGTCCTTCAGTGCCGTGGGTGGTGGTGAGTGGACGTGCAGGTCCTTCAGTGCCGTGGGTGGTGGTGAGTGGACGTGCAGGCCCTTCAGTGCCGTGGGTGGTGGTGAGTGGACGTGCAGGTCCTTCAGTGCCGTGGGTGGTGGTGAGTGGACGTGCAGGTCCTTCAGTGCCGTGGGTGGTGGTGAGTGGACGTGCAGGCCCTTCAGTGCCGTGGGTGGTGGTGAGTGGACGTGCAGGTCCTTCAGTGCCGTGGGTGGTGGTGAGTGGACGTGCAGGCCCTTCAGTGCCGTGGGTGGTGGTGAGTGGACGTGCAGGCCCTTCAGTGCCGTGGGTGGTGGTGAGTGGACGTGCAGGTCCTTCAGTGCCGTGGGTGGTGGTGAGTGGACGTGCAGGTCCTTCAGTGCCGTGGGTGGTGGTGAGTGGACGTGCAGGACCTTCAGTGCCGTGGGTGGTGGTGAGTGGACGTGCAGGTCATTCAGTGCCGTGGGTGGTGGTGAGTGGACGTGCAGGCCCTTCAGTGCCGTGGGTGGTGGTGAGTGGACGTGCAGGCCCTTCAGTGCCGTGGGTGGTGGTGAGTGGACGTGCAGGCCCTTCAGTGCCGTGGGTGGTGGTGAGTGGACGTGCAGGGCCTTCAGTGCCGTGGGTGGTGGTGAGTGGACGTGCAGGTCCTTCACTGCTGTCAGTGCTGTGAGTGGACGTGCAGGCCCTTCAGTGCCGTGGGTGGTGGTGAGTGGACGTGCAGGCCCTTCAGTGCCGTGGGTGGTGGTGAGTGGACGTGCAGGCCCTTCAGTGCCGTGGGTGGTGGTGAGTGGACGTGCAGGCCCTTCAGTGCCGTGGGTGGTGGTGAGTGGACGTGCAGGTCCTTCACTGCTGTCAGTGCTGTGAGTGGACGTGCAGGCCCTTCAGTGCCGTGGGCGGTGGTGAGTGGACGTGCAGGTCCTTCAGTGCTGTGAGGGGACGTGCAGGCCCTTCAGTGCCGTGGGTGGTGGTGAGTGGACGTGCAGGCCCTTCAGTGCCGTGGGTGGTGGTGAGTGGACGTGCAGGTCCTTCAGTGCCGTGGGTGGTGGTGAGTGGACGTGCAGGTCCTTCACTGCTGTCAGTGCTGTGAGTGGACGTGCAGGCCCTTCAGTGCCGTGGGCGGTGGTGAGTGGACGTGCAGGTCCTTCAGTGCTGTGAGGGGACGTGCAGGCCCTTCAGTGCCGTGGGTGGTGGTGAGTGGATGTGCAGGCCCTTCAGTGCCGTGGGTGGTGGTGAGTGGACGTGCAGGGCCTTCAGTGCCGTGGGTGGTGGTGGGTGGACGTGCAGGGCCTTCAGTGCCGTGGGTGGTGGTGAGTGGACGTGCAGGTCCTTCAGTGCCGTGGGTGGTGGTGAGTGGACGTGCAGGACCTTCAGTGCCGTGGGTGGTGGTGGGTGGACGTGCAGGGCCTTCAGTGCCGTGGGTGGTGGTGAGTGGACGTGCAGGCCCTTCAGTGCCGTGGGTGGTGGTGAGTGGACGTGCAGGGCCTTCAGTGCCGTGGGTGGTGGTGGGTGGACGTGCAGGGCCTTCAGTGCCGTGGGTGGTGGTGGGTGGACGTGCAGCCTTCACTGCCAATGGGAGGGGCACGTGTGCGCTGGCCTCTGCAGAAGGGGTGGCCCTAGCCACCAGGGCCCAGGCTGGGGCGGCTCATGAGGACGTCCCTGAGGCGGACTGGGCCCTTCCCCAGGGGCACGGGGGACTGTCACGGTGGGACTAGCATCTCAGTGCGTGTCCACTGTGCCTGTGAGGTTTTCTGCGGTCACTGAGGTCGGGGAGCTGTGTGCACTAGATCTGGGGTAGCCAGGGTGGGCTTCGCGGGGCCAGGGGTCACTCTGTAGGACTGTGGGTGGGCTTGGGTTCTGTGACGTTGTCCGTGCGTTTCTCTGGGTGTCCTGGGGGTCCGCCCAGGTATCCAGCATGGTCAGCATGCACCCCTCCCCGGGCCACCACCCCGGCCCATGTGTGCGTCTCGAGAGCGTCAGGGCTCCCTGGGGGTGGCTGGACGGGTGGGGGCTGCCTTCCTGGTGGCCTCTCTCCCCAGGTGGGTCCTGGGGCGGCCGTCCTTCCACGGGCAGGTCCTGTCTTCTCCCTAGCTGTTCTTGGTCCTCCTGTGGCCCTCGCTGTCCCCTGGCCCAGGTCCGCCGGCTCCGTCTGCGGCCGTCACTCTGCTGACCCTCACTGACACGGGGGTTTGTGGGTCAGGACTTGGTAGCTGTGTGTGTCCAGGTCTGAGGCTGCCCACTCCTGGGTGCCCTGGGGCCCGGCCCTCCAGGGCTCGATGCCCGTCTGCATGGCCCACTGCCAAGCATGCTGTCCTCGGAGTGGCCACAAAGGGACCGGGCTGGGAGACCTGCTTAGTGCCACGGTTCACCCCAGGACTTTGACCCTGTGGGGGCACCTCACGCAGGGTCCTGTCACCCGTGGGGGCACGTCACGCAGGGTCCCGTCACCCGTGGGGGAGGCACCTCACACAGGGTCCCGTCACCCGTGGGGGGGCACCTCACGCAGGGTCCCGTCACCCGTGGGGGGGCACCTCACGCAGGGTCCCGTCACCCGTGGGGGAGGCACCTCACGCAGGGTCCCGTCACCCGTGGGGGAGGCACCTCACGCAGGGTCCCGTCACCCGTGGGGGGGCACATCACGCAGGGTCCCGTCACCCGTGGGGGCACGTCACGCAGGGTCCCGTCACCCGTGGGGGGGCACGTCACGCAGGGTCCCGTCACCCGTGGGGGGGCACCTCACGCAGGGTCCCGTCACCCGTGGGGGGGCACGTCACGCAGGGTTCCGTCACCCGTGGGGGGGGCACCTCACGCAGGGTCCTGTCACCCGTGGGGGAGGCACGTCACACAGAGTCCTGTCACCCGTGGGGGAGGCACGTCACACAGGGACCATCACGCAGGGTCCTGTCAGTCCACCTCAGGGGTCATCCAGGAGGACGTGGTCACTCCTGTCCATGCAGTCCCTCTGTCATGACAATAGCTAGGAAACAGGGTGGACAGTCCCAGGGTCTGATGAGCTGTGGCCACTTCATCCCTCAGGTCCAGGCACGCAAGGCGGAGCCGCTGCCCCCGGCCACCAGCCACAGCATCCCAGCCTTCTACTTCCCCAGAGGGCGCCCCAAGGACACGGTGGACGTGGACGCCGTCATCACCAGCATCGAGCGCACCTTCACCCAGTTCCCTCATGAGAGGGCCACCCTGGAGGACATGGGCAGGGTGGCCAAGGTGAGTGGAGCGCCCCACAGTGAGAGGACCAAGAGCCACAGGGCACCTGGGCAGGAGGCCAGCGTCACACGTGGACAGCAGGGACCCCTCAGCCCACCAGGCACAGGAGATGGGCAGGAGGCCAGGCGTCACAGGTGGACAGCAGGGACCCCTCAGCCCACCAGGCACAGGAGATGGGCAGGAGGCCAGGCGTCACAGGTGGACAGCAGGGACCCCTCAGCCCACCAGGCACAGGAGATGGGCAGGAGGCCAGGCGTCACAGGTGGACAGCAGGGACCCCTCAGCCCACCAGGCACAGGAGATGGGCAGGAGGCCAGGCGTCACAGGTGGACAGCAGGGACCCCTCAGCCCACCAGGCACAGGAGATGGGCAGGAGGCCAGGTGTCACAGGTGGACAGCAGGGACCCCTCAGCCCACCAGGCACAGGAGATGGGCAGGAGGCCAGGTGTCACAGGTGGACAGCAGGGACCCCTCAGCCCACCAGGCACAGGAGATGGGCAGGAGGCCAGGCGTCACAGGTGGACAGCAGGGACCCCTCAGCCCACCAGGCACAGGAGATGGGCAGGAGGCCAGGCGTCACAGGTGGACAGCAGGGACCCCTCAGCCCACCAGGCACAGGAGATGGGCAGGAGGCCAGGTGTCACAGGTGGACAGCAGGCGCCCCTCAGCCCACCAGGCACAGGAGATGGGCAGGAGGCCAGGTGTCACAGGTGGACAGCAGGGACCCCTCAGCCCACCAGGCACAGGAGATGGGCAGGAGGCCAGGCGTCACAGGTGGACAGCAGGGACCCCTCAGCCCACCAGGCACAGGAGATGGGCAGGAGGCCAGGTGTCACAGGTGGACAGCAGGGACCTCTCAGCCCACCAGGCACAGGAGATGGGCAGGAGGCCAGTCGTCACAGGTGGACAGCAGGCGCCCCTCAGCCCACGTGGCGTGTGGTGGGAGACAGCATCAGAGTCGGGACACCTGAGGTCCAGCGGTCCTGGCAGGCACGTGGGAGGCGGGGCGAGCTTTTCACAGGCAGCCCCGCGGTTCCAGCACCTTCTGATGTCACGAGGGCGGGCCCGGGATTTCCTGGGCGCCCTCCTAGGTGGTGACCATTTGTGGCGTGGCCCCGGGGCCCTGTTGCAGGTGGCTGCTGCGTGTCCTCGGCTCTGGCTCAGCGCTGCCTGGAGCTGGACGCCCGTCTCTAGCCTCCTGCCGGCCACACACGGTCAGGAAGGCGGGCTTGTACCTGGTGGCCTCCTGTGCGGACAGTGTTACCCGCTTGCTTTTCGCACCTCGGTGGACGGAGGTGACTGACGGAGGTGACCGGTGGAGGTGACTCATGGAGGTGACCGACAGAGGCTGACAGGCAGCCTGCATGAGCACGTGGTGCTGTGTGCTGAGTACTGCTCCTGCAGGTTGGCTTGGTGCAGTCTTGGTGACCTGGTGCACCTGGACACTTGGTGCTGGTGACCTGGTGTGGCATGAGGCCCCTCCCCTCCTGGTATCTGCTTTGCCCGGTGCAGGAGGATGGCGCAGGTTCTTCGAGGTGCATGCCTTCAGAGCCGTCTCGTGGGCACTCCTGGGCAGGAACCATCTGGGCCTCGTTGCTGGAGGTCTCTGGGCAGGTTTCAGGAGCTGGGCCCCCCGGGGCCTTGTGTCAGCTTCTTTGTCCAGCCCAGCGTCTACGGTGACTTGGGTTCTTGTCACGACACAGGGACGGAGTGTTCACAGTCTGCAGTGTGTCTGGTGACCTGTGGGTTCCGTGGGTCACGACTCTGTCCGTGCCATTCTGTCACCAGTGACCGCGGCTGCTCAGAGCAGCAGGCAGGGACAGGTCAGCTCTGGGCTGCAGCCTGAGGTCCAGGTGGGGCCGACCGGGGTCAGCTGAGGCTGCTCCTGCTCCCAGAGGTGCCTTCTCCTGGGTCCTCCATGGTGGACGGGCAGGGGGCTCTCGGGTCTCTCTGTGTTAGAGTCTGTAAACAAGTCAAAATAACACCTGGCATTTAGCCAGGGGAATGTTAGAGTTCGTGCACAAGTCTGGATGGTGCCTGGCAAAATGGCAGAGGGAGTGGTTTGAGAAGTAACACCAGGAGCCATTAAGTGTGGAGATTCCTGATTGGTCGCCTGCTGTATCCAGTTTATGCTAATTAGATAAGCTGTGGGGAATGCATAAATACTGCTCCTGTCCTGCAATACACGGCTCCCTCTCCTGCTGGATCAACGCACACAAGTCGCTCCTCACCCCCCCGGTTATTTTGCTGCAGCCGGACTGCGGCATCTCTGGTGAGGACCCTCGTCCCCTTCATGGGCTGCACCTGGGAGTCAGCCCTCCCAGAGCTCCCTCCACACCAGCACCGGGTGAGGGTCAACCCGGGAACCCGGGGGCACCCCTGCCGACCTCAGCTCCCTTTTCCAGGATGAGGTGCCCCCCACCTTCTGGGTTCCTGTTCCGCGTTCTGTACAGAAGCCATTTTTGGAGGTGTTTTGCCCTTTGTCCTGGTGCGGTGGCTGCACTCTTGCAGGCTGGGGTCCTTGACAGGCGGGGACCTCGGGTCTCGGTGCTCGGAACCGGGAGGAACCTGGTGTGGCCCCTTCCTCGGTGCCTGGTGGGGCTGTCCGGCGCCCTGGGGCCTTTCTACTGCTGGGGGCGGTTTCTGTGCCCAGGCGGCTTTGGGCAAGAGGGCCATCATGCCAGCCCAGCTTCCCCGAAGGCCAGCCTGCTGGACACGCGACCACCCTGCGTGGGCTCCGTGGCCGCATGGCTGGCGCCGGGCCCCTTAGGCCTGGTGTGTTTTCTCGTTTGTGATCTCTACCGTTTCAGTTGCAGTGGACACAAGACCTTTGTTCTCTGTTTCCTTATCTTTACGGGGTGCTGAGAGGGGGACCCAGGGCCCGCCACGCTGGCCAAGCGCCCTGCCGGAGCCCAGCCGGCCCACTGCGGTTCTGCTTGTCCTGGGAGAGCGCAGGGCTCCCTGGTCTCAGGCCCCCGGTGCTGGGTTGGCCGTGTGGAGACCTCCGTGGACGTGCTGTGGCCCTGCTGCCCTCCTGCAGCTGGGAGGCAGGACCTGAGCCCGAGGTGGCCTCCCACTGTGCTGTGCCCTGCTGTGGCTGGCCCTGTTGCAGCTCCGCGTTTGAAGTGTGTGGTTGCTGGTCTTGTTGGGTTGGGGCAGTCGGCCGAAGGTGGGGCTCTTCTGCGTGTGCTGCTGGGCCTCTGGGCACCCAGTGCTGTGTGCTGTGGGGTACTGTGCACCGAGCACCAGAGCCAGCGCCACCCCTCCCACCCCCAGGGCTGGCGGTCGCCCTGCGACAGGACAAGGGCAGCTCTCCCTGCTCCCTGGGGGCCGAGGGCTGCGTGGTCTGCAGCAGCGCCCTCCCTCTCTGCTCAAGTGTGTGCCGTGTGTCCAGGGCCCGCTGACCGCTCCCTCTGTCCCTCAGGCCTGCGGCTGCCCACTGTACTGGAAGGGGCCTCTCTTCTATGGAGCCGGCGGGGAGCGCACAGGCTCAGTGTCCGTCCACAAGTTCGTGGCCATGTGGAGAAAGTGAGTCCCGGCCGGGGGGGGCACAGAGGGGGCAGGGTCCCTGGGTCCTCGTCCCCAGTAGCCATCCCCTGGAGCTGGGTCATTCACAGGTGCGCATCCATGGCCTGGCCTCCTGTCCACCCCAGCCTCCTCGCTCATCTGTACTCTGTCCACCCACCCCCGCGTCTGGGGCAGGAGGGTGGCTCAGACCTCCTCGTGTCCCCAGGATCCTCCAAAACTGCCACGATGAAGCCGCCAAATTCGTCCACCTGCTTATGAACCCCGGCTGCAACTACCTGGTGCAGGAAGACTTCGTCCCCTTCCTGCAGGTGAGCGTCGCACCTGGAGGGACACCGTGTCCAGATGCACGCAGGCCTGGGCCCCACCGCTGTGCTGCCCCAGGACCCCCGCCGCAGTGCGCAGTGTGGGCTGCGCGTGTGGGTCCCGTGGGCTGCTGTCCTGGGAATGCAGGGGGCGGGGCTGCTCACCTGGGGCTCCTCCCACACAGGCCTGGGCCCCGCCCCGCGCTGCCCCAGGAACCCCCAGCCGCAGTCTGGACTGCGCATGTGGGTCCCGTGGGCTGCTGTCCTGGGAGTGCAGGGGGCGGGGCTGCTCACCTGGGGCTCCTCCCACACAGGCCTGGGCCCCACCGCTGTGCTGCCCCAGGACCCCCGCCGCAGTGCGCAGTGCGGACTGCGCATGTGGGTCCCCTCGGCTGTGTGGCCTGGGGGTCAGGGGAGGCCGCTCACCTGGGGCTCCTCCCACACAGGCCTGGGCCCCGCCCCGCGCTGCCCCAGGAACCCCCAGCCGCAGTCTGGACTGCGCATGTGGGTCCCGTGGGCTGCTGTCCTGGGAGTGCAGGGGGCGGGGCTGCTCACCTGGGGCTCCTCCCACACAGGCCTGGGCCCCGCCCCGCGCTGCCCCAGGAACCCCCAGCCGCAGTCTGGACTGCGCATGTGGGTCCCGTGGGCTGCTGTCCTGGGAGTGCAGGGGGCGGGGCCGCTCACCTGGGGCTCCTCCCACACAGGCCTGGGCCCCGCCCCGCGCCGCCCCAGGAACCCCCAGCTGCAGAGCCTTCCGTGTGGGTGCGGACTGCTGACTTGGGCCTGGGGTCCCCGGGGCCTGGGGGCCGGGACAGGGTCGGTTGGTCCCCTGGGGCTCCTCGCCGCTGCTGGGGCCCTTTTCCTTGCTAGGCTGGCTCCCTGGGCGCGGCTGCCCGGCTCTTCTCACCCGTGGAGGGCGGGGCACTGAGGGGCCTCGTGGGGAGTGGCTGAGCCGGTGGGGTCCACAGCTGGGAGTGCTACCCGCAGCCCGCGGGGTCGTGAGAGGCGGTGCCAGGCTGCCTGGGTGGACCTGCAGCCTCTCCCACGGCCCTGGCGTGGCTCGGCCGAGTCTGGCAGGGCGACCCGCACCGCACTGGCTTGGGTGGCTCGGCCTTCATTCTGTCCCTGTGCCTGCAGGACGTGGTGAACACGCACCCTGGCCTGTCCTTCCTGAAGGAGGCGTCCGAGTTCCACTCCCGCTACATCACCACGGTGAGTCCCAGCGCCAGAGCCCCCCCTCGCCGGGCCAGGCTTTCGGCCCCGCCCCTGCTGCGACCGCCACCGAGTCAGAGTCAGACATATCAATCATGAGCTTGTGGGCCAGGCACCGGCGCTGCCACCCCTGAGGGACAGCACGTGGCCTCATGACACTGGAGCACCTGAATGCAGCGTCCGCTGGCCTCGCGCTTCTGGGTGGTGACAGTGCTCATGTGTCCGGCAGGGCTCAGGGACGCGGTGAGGTCTCCTGTCCCGGGGCCATGGGTGCCAGGGACATGTCCGCCCCGGGGGGGTCGTGGGTGGGGTAGAGTGGACTCCTTGGGGCGCTGCCCTCCTTGCATCTGCTGGGCTCAGCTGGCCCTGCTGCCCACTCACGGGGCTGTGGGTCTGCACTGCCCATGAGCAGAGGGGCCGGATTTCCAGAGGCAGCCTGCGGCGCGGGGCGTGAGACGTCCCAGCGCCAGGGTGGGGGTGAGCAGGGGGCGCGTCCTGGGGTCAGCTGCGGCCGCCCCTGCCCTGGGGCAGAGCTAGCCCCGTCTGCAGGTCAGGCTGGCTGTGCCACGTGGGAGGAGGTGGCGGCCACCGCGTGTGCCTCCTCACGGTGCCGGGCTGTTTGTGGAAGTCTCCGCAGGTTCTCACCCGAGGCTCACCTGGCACTGTCCTCAGCCTCTGCCGTCCCGCCCTGGCCCCCAGCTCACCTCCCGTCTGAGAGCTAAGCCGCAGCCCTGGCCTGCAGAGCCCTCCTCATCCCTCCCTGCAGCCCGGCAGCACTCCATCCCCGTCCAGCACAGCCCTGCCCGGCTGCGTCCCGTGCCCTCAGGGCAGCCCCAGCACAGCAAGGCTCTGCCCCTAGGCAGCTGGGCCCCTCCCGGTTCTCAAAGGCCCCGCCTGACTTGTGGGGGCGGGCGCCCTCTGCTGGTGGCTGGAGCCCTGCGCAGGCCCCCTCCTGACCCGCCGGTGCTGTGCTGAGGGTCCTCCTCCCGCAGGTCATCCAGAGGATATTCTACACCGTCAACAGGTCCTGGACTGGGAGGATCACCTGCACGGAGCTCCGGAGGAGCACCTTCCTGCAGGTGCGCCCGGGGAGGTGGGCTCCTTCCTCTGCTGCAGGACCCGGGTGCGGGCCCCGGCACAGAGGACCCTCAGGCCACCAAGCACCAAGTCCCATCAGGGGACACAGAGTCTCCAGCATGGCCAGCCTGTCCTCGGCATGGCCCGACATGTGTGCCTGCCCTGCGCCTTGGCCTCCCTCCAGACTTCCTCCACTCACCCCTGAGGAAGCTGCCCTCTCTCTGAAGCCGCCCTTTCCTCAGAGCAGAGCCCGTCCCCTAGACACTAGAGGCTCCGGGCCCTTTTCCACGAGCTCTACCAAGCCATTTCTCCTCCTTCAGGAGGCCCCTCCCACCCGCTGCTCCTCCTTCAGGAGGCCCCTCCCACCCGCTGCTCCTCCTTCAGGAGACCCCACCCACCCGCTGCTCCTCCTTCAGGAGGCCCCACCCACCCGCTGCTCCTCCTTCAGGAGGCCCCACCCACCCGCTGCTCCTCCTTCAGGAGGCCCCTCCCACTCGCTGCTCCTCCTTCAGGAGGCCCCTCCCACCCGCTGCTCCTCCTTCAGGAGGCCCCTCCCACTCACTGCTCCTCCTTCAGGAGGCCCCTCCCACCCGCTGCTCCTCCTTCAGGAGGCCCCACCCACCCGCTGCTCCATCTTCAGGATGCCCCTCCCACTCACTGCTCCATCTTCAGGAGGCCCCTCCCACTCACTGCTCCATCTTCAGGAGGCCCCTCCCACTCACTGCTCCATCTTCAGGAGGCTCCTCCCACTCACTGCTCCATCTTCGGGAGGCCCCTCCCACCCGTGCAGGCTCCTCCCCTCAGGACCCTGCGCAGCCACTTCCTGGTCCTTTGCAGAACGTGGCCCTGCTGGAGGAGGAGGCGGACATCAACCAGCTGACGGAGTACTTCTCCTACGAGCACTTCTACGTCATCTACTGCAAGTTTTGGGAGCTGGACACAGACCACGACCTCCTCATCGACGCGCAGGACCTGGCCCGACACAATGACCACGGTGAGCCTGGCTGCGGGACTTGGGGCAGGGCACTGTGCAGGCCCAGGTGACACCGCACACTGCTCAGGGAGCCTGGCGTCCACCCTGGCCCTGCCCTCCTGGCCTCCCCCTGCCTGCGTGCTCCTTGCCTGCTGTCCTGACCCAGGACACTGCCTCTGTCACTGAGGTGGTGTCTGGGACACGTGGTCCCTGTGTGGGAGGGCCACGCTGCACGATGAGGTGGAGTGGGGCATCCTCAGCCTAAGGCCCTGCCCTCCGCGTCCCTGTCCCCTGTCGTCAAAGCCCCTGTCCCCAGCCTGCTCGGGCGTCAGTGTCTCTGGTCCATCCCCAGTGGCCCCAGCCCTTCACCCCTGTTCCTAGTGGCCAGACCTCTGACCCAGCTCACTGGCCACGCGTCCTGCATCCTGGTCACTGCTGGGGCCTGCCCCAGTCCCGTGGTTGGTCTTTGAGGAACCTCAGGTCGGGTTCCCAGGCAGAGCCGGCCTGGGTGCTGTCCCCAGCTGTGCCTCCCAGCCGCCCCTCCTTGAGCTCCTGTGGCTGCCCAGGCCAGGACACCTGCTCTCCAGTGGTCACCGGGGTCTCCTGCCCACCCTGAGGAGTCCTGCTCCTCAGGTGGACCCCGTTATCTAGAATAGAGGTTCACACAGGCGCTAGCTCACCCTGGGTCGCCGCCAAACCAGGAGACGTGGGTCCAGCAGGGGACGCTGTCTCTGAGGCCCTGCCCTGTTGCGTCACTTTCCGCTGCCCCTTGCTCCCTGACGTTGGTGTCCCAGCTCCACAAGCGCCTGTGGACAGTGTCCTTTCCCTCAGGCTGCCGCAGACGGTCACCGGGGCTACTCCCCCTCCCAGTAATCAGAACTTCAAGAGGGACACTGCTGACCCACAGGTGTGCAGGGTCACCTCCCCTTCCTAGTGATCAGAGCCTCAGGGACACCACTGACCCACAGGTGTGCAGGGTCACCTCCCCTTCCTGGTGACCAGAGCCTCAGGGACACCACTGACCCACAGGTGTGCAGGGTCACCTCCCCTTCCTAGTCATCAGAGCCTCATGGACACCACTGACCCACAGGTGTGCAGGGTCACCTCCCCTTCCTAGTCATCAGAGCCTCAGGGACACCGCTGACCCACAGGTGTGCAGGGTCACCTCCCCTTCCTAGTCATCAGAACCTCAGGGACACCACTGACCCACAGGTGTGCAGGGTCACCTCCCCTTCCTAGTGATCAGAACCTCAGGGACACCACTGACCCACAGGTGTGCAGGGTCACCTCCCCTTCCTGGTGACCAGAGCCTCAGGGACACCACTGACCCACAGGTGTGCAGGGTCACCTCCCCTTCCTAGTCATCAGAACCTCAGGGACACCACTGACCCACAGGTGTGCAGGGTCACCTCCCCTTCCTAGTCATCAGAGCCTCAGGGACACCACTGACACACAGGTGTGCAGGGTCACCTCCCCTTCCTAGTCATCAGAGCCTCATGGACACCACTGACCCACAGGTGTGCAGGGTCACCTCCCCTTCCTAGTCATCAGAACCTTAGGGACACCACTGACCCACAGGTGTGCAGGGTCACCTCCCCTTCCTAGTGACCAGAACCTCAGGGACACCACTGACCCACAGGTGTGCAGGGTCACCTCCCCTTCCTAGTGATCAGAGCCTCAGGGACACCGCTGACCCACAGGTGTGCAGGGTCACCTCCCCTTCCTAGTCATCAGAGCCTCAGGGACACCACTGACCCACAGGTGTGCAGGGTCACCTCCCCTTCCTAGTCATCAGAGCCTCAGGGACACCGCTGACCCACAGGTGTGCAGGGTCACCTCCCCTTCCTGGTGACCAGAGCCTCAGGGACACCACTGACCCACAGGTGTGCAGGGTCACCTCCCCTTCCTAGTCATCAGAACCTCAGGGACACCACTGACCCACAGGTGTGCAGGGTCACCTCCCGTTCCTAGTGACCAGAGCCTCAGGGACAGCACTGACCCACAGGTGTGCAGGGTCACCTCCCCTTCCTAGTCATCAGAGCCTCAGGGACACCGCTGACCCACAGGTGTGCAGGGTCACCTCCCCTTCCTGGTGACCAGAGCCTCAGGGACACCACTGACCCACAGGTGTGCAGGGTCACCTCCCCTTCCTAATGACCAGAGCCTCAGGGACACCGCTGACCCACAGGTGTGCAGGGTCACCTCCCCTTCCTAGTCATCAGAACCTCAGGGACACCACTGACCCACAGGTGTGCAGGGTCACCTCCCCTTCCTAGTGATCAGAGCCTCAGGGACACCACTGACCCACAGGTGTGCAGGGTCACCTCCCCTTCCTGGTGACCAGAGCCTCAGGGACACCACTGACCCACAGGTGTGCAGGGTCACCTCCCCTTCCTAGTCATCAGAACCTCAGGGACACCACTGACCCACAGGTGTGCAGGGTCACCTCCCCTTCCTAGTCATCAGAGCCTCAGGGACACCACTGACACACAGGTGTGCAGGGTCACCTCCCCTTCCTAGTCATCAGAGCCTCATGGACACCACTGACCCACAGGTGTGCAGGGTCACCTCCCCTTCCTAGTCATCAGAACCTTAGGGACACCACTGACCCACAGGTGTGCAGGGTCACCTCCCCTTCCTAGTGACCAGAACCTCAGGGACACCACTGACCCACAGGTGTGCAGGGTCACCTCCCCTTCCTAGTGATCAGAGCCTCAGGACACCGCTGACCCACAGGTGTGCAGGGTCACCTCCCTTCCTAGTCATCAGAGCCTCAGGGACACCACTGACCCACAGGTGTGCAGGGTCACCTCCCCTTCCTAGTCATCAGAGCCTCAGGGACACCGCTGACCCACAGGTGTGCAGGGTCACCTCCCCTTCCTGGTGACCAGAGCCTCAGGGACACCACTGACCCACAGGTGTGCAGGGTCACCTCCCCTTCCTAGTCATCAGAGCCTCAGGGACACCACTGATCCACAGGTGTGCAGGGTCACCTCCCCTTCCTGGTGACCAGAGCCTCAGGGACACCACTGACCCACAGGTGTGCAGGGTCACCTCCCCTTCCTAGTCATCAGAACCTCAGGGACACCACTGACCCACAGGTGTGCAGGGTCACCTCCCGTTCCTAGTGACCAGAGCCTCAGGGACAGCACTGACCCACAGGTGTGCAGGGTCACCTCCCCTTCCTAGTCATCAGAGCCTCAGGGACACCGCTGACCCACAGGTGTGCAGGGTCACCTCCCCTTCCTGGTGACCAGAGCCTCAGGGACACCACTGACCCACAGGTGTGCAGGGTCACCTCCCCTTCCTAATGACCAGAGCCTCAGGGACACCGCTGACCCACAGGTGTGCAGGGTCACCTCCCCTTCCTAGTCATCAGAACCTCAGGGACACCGCTGACCCACAGGTGTGCAGGGTCACCTCCCCTTCCTAGTCATCAGAGCCTCAGGGACACCACTGATCCACAGGTGTGCAGGGTCACCTCCCCTTCCTGGTGACCAGAGCCTCAGGGACACCACTGACCCACAGGTGTGCAGGGTCACCTCCCCTTCCTAGTCATCAGAACCTCAGGGACACCACTGACCCACAGGTGTGCAGGGTCACCTCCCCTTCCTAGTGATCAGAGCCTCAGGGACACCACTGACACACAGGTGTGCAGGGTCACCTCCCCTTCCTGGTCATCAGAGCCTCAGGGACACCGCTGACCCACAGGTGTGCAGGGTCACCTCCCCTTCCTGGTGACCAGAGCCTCAGGGACACCACTGACCCACAGGTGTGCAGGGTCACCTCCCCTTCCTCGTCATCACAACCTCAGGGACACCGCTGACCCACAGGTGTGCAGGGTCACCTCCCCTTCCTAGTCATCACAACCTCAGGGACACCGCTGACCCACAGGTGTGCAGGGTCACCTCCCCTTCCTAATGACCAGAGCCTCAGGGACACCGCTGACCCACAGGTGTGCAGGGTCACCTCCCCTTCCTAGTCATCACAACCTCAGGGACACCGCTGACCCACAGGTGTGCAGGGTCACCTCCCCTTCCTAGTCATCAGAACCTCAGGGACACCACTGACCCACAGGTGTGCAGGGTCACCTCCCCTTCCTAGTCATCAGAACCTCAGGGACATCACTGACCCACAGGTGTGCAGGGTCACCTCCCCTTCCTGGTGACCAGAACCTCAGGGACATCACTGACCCACAGGTGTGCAGGGTCACCTCCCCTTCCTAGTGACCAGAGCCTCAGGGACACCGCTGACCCACAGGTGTGCAGGGTCACCTCCCCTTCCTAGTCATCACAACCTCAGGGACACCGCTGACCCACAGGTGTGCAGGGTCACCTCCCCTTCCTAATGACCAGAGCCTCAGGGACACCGCTGACCCACAGGTGTGCAGGGTCACCTCCCCTTCCTAGTGACCAGAACCTCAGGGACACCACTGACCCACAGGTGTGCAGGGTCACCTCCCCTTCCTAGTGATCAGAGCCTCAGGGACACCACTGACCCACAGGTGTGCAGGGTCACCTCCCCTTCCTAGTCATCAGAACCTCAGGGACATCACTGACCCACAGGTGTGCAGGGTCACCTCCCCTTCCTAGTCATCAGAACCTCAGGGACACCACTGACCCACAGGTGTGCAGGGTCACCTCCCCTTCCTGGTGACCAGAGCCTCAGGGACACCGCTGACCCACAGGTGTGCAGGGTCACCTCCCCTTCCTAGTGACCAGAACCTCAGGGACACCACTGACCCACAGGTGTGCAGGGTCACCTCCCCTTCCTAGTCATCAGAGCCTCAGGGACACCGCTGACCCACAGGTGTGCAGGGTCACCTCCCCTTCCTAGTCATCAGAGCCTCAGGGACACCACTGACCCACAGGTGTGCAGGGTCACCTCCCCTTCCTAGTCATCAGAACCTCAGGGACATCACTGACCCACAGGTGTGCAGGGTCACCTCCCCTTCCTAGTCATCAGAGCCTCAGGGACATCACTGACCCACAGGTGTGCAGGGTCACCTCCCCTTCCTAGTGATCAGAACCTCAGGGACACCACTGACCCACAGGTGTGCAGGGTCACCTCCCCTTCCTAGTGATCAGAGCCTCAGGGACACCACTGACCCACAGGTGTGCAGGGTCACCTCCCCTTCCTAGTCATCAGAACCTCAGGGACATCACTGACCCACAGGTGTGCAGGGTCACCTCCCCTTCCTAGTCATCAGAGCCTCAGGGACACCACTGACCCACAGGTGTGCAGGGTCACCTCCCCTTCCTAGTCATCAGAACCTCAGGGACACCACTGACCCACAGGTGTGCAGGGTCACCTCCCCTTCCTGGTGACCAGAACCTCAGGGACACCGCTGACCCACAGGTGTGCAGGGTCACCTCCCCTTCCTAGTGACCAGAGCCTCAGGGACACCACTGACCCACAGGTGTGCAGGGTCACCTCCCCTTCCTAGTCATCAGAACCTCAGGGACACCACTGACCCACAGGTGTGCAGGGTCACCTCCCCTTCCTAGTCATCAGAACCTCAGGGACACCACTGACCCACAGGTGTGCAGGGTCACCTCCCCTTCCTAGTGATCAGAGCCTCAGGGACACCACTGACCCACAGGTGTGCAGGGTCACCTCCCCTTCCTAGTCATCAGAACCTCAGGGACATCACTGACCCACAGGTGTGCAGGGTCACCTCCCCTTCCTAGTCATCAGAGCCTCAGGGACACCACTGACCCACAGGTGTGCAGGGTCACCTCCCCTTCCTAGTCATCAGAACCTCAGGGACATCACTGACCCACAGGTGTGCAGGGTCACCTCCCCTTCCTAGTCATCAGAGCCTCAGGGACATCACTGACCCACAGGTGTGCAGGGTCACCTCCCCTTCCTAGTCATCAGAACCTCAGGGACACTGCTGACCCACAGGTGTGCAGGGTCACCTCCCCTTCCTAGTCATCAGAGCCTCAGGGACACCGCTGACCCACAGGTGTGCAGGGTCACCTCCCCTTCCTGGTGACCAGAGCCTCAGGGACACCACTGACCCACAGGTGTGCAGGGTCACCTCCCCTTCCTAGTCATCAGAGCCTCAGGGACACCACTGACCCACAGGTGTGCAGGGTCACCTCCCCTTCCTAGTCATCAGAACCTCAGGGACACCACTGACCCACAGGTGTGCAGGGTCACCTCCCCTTCCTAGTCATCAGAACCTCAGGGACATCACTGACCCACAGGTGTGCAGGGTCACCTCCCCTTCCTAGTCATCAGAGCCTCAGGACACCACTGACCCACAGGTGTGCAGGGTCACCTCCCCTTCCTAGTCATCAGAACCTCAGGGACACCACTGACCCACAGGTGTGCAGGGTCACCTCCCCTTCCTAGTCATCAGAACCTCAGGGACACCACTGACCCACAGGTGTGCAGGGTCACCTCCCCTTCCTAGTCATCAGAACCTCAGGGACATCACTGACCCACAGGTGTGCAGGGTCACCTCCCCTTCCTAGTCATCAGAGCCTCAGGACACCACTGACCCACAGGTGTGCAGGGTCACCTCCCCTTCCTAGTCATCAGAACCTCAGGGACACCACTGACCCACAGGTGTGCAGGGTCACCTCCCCTTCCTAGTCACCAGAACCTCAGGGACACCACTGACCCACAGGTGTGCAGGGTCACCTCCCCTTCCTAGTCATCAGAACCTCAGGGACACCACTGACCCACAGGTGTGCAGGGTCACCTCCCCTTCCTAGTCATCAGAGCCTCAGGGACAGCAGTGACCCACAGGTGTGCAGGGTCACCTCCCCTTCCTGGTGACCAGAGCCCACTGTCCCTGTGAGCCCCCACCCTGGTTAGCTCGCCCCTGGCCAGGCCTCTCCTGGCTCGGGGACACTCAGGGGCTGGAGTCGTGAAGCAGGGTGAGGCTGTTGTCACATTGCCAGGGCGTCCTCAGGACCCTGGTGGCTGGGTGTGCTGCCTGGAGTGGGACGGGCAGCAGCTGCAGCAGATGCTGCCCTCCCCTGGGGGCCACAGGGCTTGGTCCTTCCCCTGCTGCCCGTCGTCCCCGCTCTCCTCGGCTGCGCCTGCCTGCAGGTGAGGGCAGCAGCACCAGCTCTGCCCATGGTGGCCGGGTTCCAGCTGCGTCGGGCCAGCTGCCTGGGAGGCGTCCCCTCTGTGGCCTTCCCCTCTCCCAAGACCACTAGCCTGCAGACCGCCTGTGGGCTGCGCCAGTCCCCAAGGCTCCGGCCAAGGTCCCACACTCCGGAGCAGGCAGAAACCCCCGGGCAGAGGATGCAGACCCGTTCCCGGCTGAGCCCCCTCCAGGGCCCCAGGGGCTCCTCCTGCCTCTCCAGCTCCTGGGCTCCAGGTTGCCCTGGGCGGGTGGCCCCTCAGTGCAGTCTCTGCCTCCGTCTCCTCGGGGCTCCTCCTCTGGGTCTGTGTCCCCTCCTCTGTCTCTGGGGAGGACACGGCCATTGCACGAGGGCCCCCTGACCCAGGAGGAGCCCATCTCAGGCCACTCCACTAAGTCCCTCTGCAGAGACCCTGCTTCCCCACGAGGTCCCTTCACAGGACCAGGGCAGCACATGAGTTGATCCTGTCTTTCCGCGTCGGGTGGTTTGGGTCAAGCAGGGTGAATCCTAGAGGTCAGGAGAGACTCTGGGGCTCTCTGTCCCGTAGATGATGCCTGTTAAGGGTGAATTTTGTCCTTCCAAAACTCCGAGGTCGCAGCCCTGACCCAGGACCTCAGAATGGGCTGTGTGGGGTGCAGTGAGGTCCCAGGGTGGCCCTGGCCCAGCAGGACTGGGGTCCTCGTAGAGGAGGAGATGAGGACACAGACGCACACAGAGGGACGGCCCGAGAGGACCCAGGGAGAAGACGGCGGCTGCCAGCCCAGGGGAGAGGCCTCGGGCCCGCCCTGCCCAGCCTGGACCTCAGGGCCTCCAGCCTGCAGGACTGGGCAGTTCCCGTGTGTGGGGTCGGCGGTGGTCTGCTGCCCGGCGTGTGGTCATGTCCTGGGCACTCGGGACGGCTTCACTGTGCTGTTTTCTCTGAAGGACTTTGTCTCCTCATCACGGCGCATGGGCTCCATGGGCAGCAACGGTGACCGGGCTGCGCTCGAGGACAGCGCGGGAAGCACCGGCTGCGGTGCCGGAGACCCGCAGCTGTGCTCACGGCCCACTCTTCCCTTGCAGCCATTTCCACCAAGATGATTGACAGGATCTTCTCGGGCGCCGTGACGAGGTCGGTGGCCCTCAGTTCCCTGCCCTCCCAGAGTGGGTGACTACCAGGAGCTGGTGCAAGTGCTCTGCGCCCTTCCCGACGTGGCCCTCTCTTCCCGTGGGGCCCCATCACGCAGTCAGAGAGGGGAGCCGCCTGTCGGGCGGGGGTCCTGCCGAGGGCTGGCTCAGGCTCCGGTGTGTTGTCCACCGCTGACAGTGTCTCAGCCCCGCCGGAGGCCCCGTCCCCTGGGGCGCCCTGAGTCCGCTGCCCTGCTCATGCTCGCCTGGAGCCCGCTCCTGTGCGCACAGGGAGCAGGCAGCACGCAGCACCTTTCCTAGGGCTGGAGGGACCCCGCATGTCCCGCCCCCAAGCCCCCCACGCGCCCTTCCTTCCCTGTCCTCCACTCCTTCCTTCTCCCGCTCCGCCCCTCCCTCCTCCGCCCCTCCCTCCTCTCTCCTTGGCCCCTCCCTCGTCCCTCATTGGCTCCTCCCTCCTCCGCCCCTCCCTCCTCTGTCCCTCCCTCCTCAGCCCCTCCCTCCTCTCTCCTCCACCCCTCCCTCCTCCACCCCTCCCTCCTCCCTCCATCTCCCTCCTCCCTCCATCTCCCTCCCTCCTCTACCCCTTCCTCCTCCACCCCTCCCTCCTCCCTCCATCTCCCTCCCTCCTCCACCCCTCCCTCCTCCCTCCTCCACCCCTGCCTCGTCCCTCCTCCACCATCTCTCCTCCACCACTCCCTCCTTCACCCTCCACCCTCCCTCCACTCTCCTTCACCCCTCCCTCCTCCACCCCTCCCTCCTCCCTCCTCCACCCCTCCCTCCTCCCTCCATCTCCCTCCCTCCTCTACCCCTCCCTCCTCCACCCCTCCCTCCTCCACCCCTCCCTCCTCCACCCCTCCCTCCTCCCTCCATCTCCCTCCCTCCTCCACCCCTCCCTCCTCCCTCCTCCACCCCTGCCTCGTCCCTCCTCCACCATCTCTCCTCCACCACTCCCTCCTTCACCCTCCCCCTCCCTCCACTCTCCTTCACCCCTCCCTCCTCCACCCCTCCCTCCTCCCTCCTCCACCCCTCCCTCCTCCCTCCTCCACCCCTCCCTCCTCCCTCCATCTCCCTCCCCCCTCTCCCCCTCCCTCCTCCCTCCTCCTCCCCTCCCTCCTCCCTCCATCTCCCTCCCTCCTCCACCCCTCCCTCCTCCCTCCTCCACCCCTGCCTCGTCCCTCCTCCACCATCTCTCCTCCACCACTCCCTCCTTCACCCTCCACCCTCCCTCCACTCTCCTTCACCCCTCCCTCCTCCACCCCTCCCTCCTCCCTCCTCCACCCCTCCCTCCTCCCTCCTCCACCCCTCCCTCCTCCCTCCATCTCCCTCCCTCCTCTACCCCTCCCTCCTCCCTCCTCCACCCCTCCCTCCTCCCTCCATCTCCCTCCCTCCTCCACCCCTCCCTCCTCCCTCCTCCACCCCTCCTTCCCTGACACCATCCTCTCTTCCCTCCTGGACGCAGAGGTAGAAAAGTCCAGAAGGAAGGAAAGATCAGCTACGCTGACTTTGTCTGGTTTCTGATCTCTGAGGAAGACAAAAAGACCCCAACAAGGTAGGAGCTCGGGTTCCCTCCGAGGCGCATGGGGGCCCCCCACCCCGCCCTTCCCTGCCATCTTCTCCTGTAGGACCCAGGTCAGCCTGTGCAGGGTGGGCGTGTCCCGTCCTGGTCAGCCTGTGCCGGGTGGGCGTGTCCCGTCCTGGTCAGCCTGTGCCGGGTGGGCGTGTCCCGTCCTGGTCAGCCTGTGCCGGGTGGGCGTGTCCCGTCCTGGTCAGCCTGTGCCGGGTGGGCGTGTCCCGTCCTGGTCAGCCTGTGCCGGGTGGGCGTGTCCCGTCCTGGTCAGCCTGTGCCGGGTGGGCGTGTCCCGTCCTGGTCAGCCTGTGCCGGGTGGGCGTGTCCCGTCCTGGTCAGCCTGTGCCGGGTGGGCGTGTCCCGTCCTGGTCAGGCTGGGCCTGGGTGGGCGTGTCCCGTCCTGGTCAGCCTGTGCCGGGTGGGCGTGTCCCGTCCTGGTCAGCCTGTGCCGGGTGGGCGTGTCCCGTCCTGGTCAGCCTGTGCCGGGTGGGCGTGTCCCGTCCTGGTCAGGCTGGGCCTGGGTGGGCGTGTCCCGTCCTGGTCAGCCTGTGCCGGGTGGGCGTGTCCCGTCCTGGTCAGCCTGTGCCGGGTGGGCGTGTCCCGTCCTGGTCAGCCTGTGCAGGGTGGGCGTGTCCCGTCCTGGTCAGGCTGGGCCTGGGTGGGCGTGTCCCGTCCTGGTCAGCCTGTGCCGGGTGGGCGTGTCCCGTCCTGGTCAGGCTGGGCCTGGGTGGGCGTGTCCCTGGCAGCCCAGCTGACGGGCCCCAACACTAGCATCGAGTACTGGTTCCGGTGCATGGACCTGGACGGGGACGGGGCGCTGTCCATGTTCGAGCTGGAGTACTTCTACGAGGAGCAGTGCCGCAGGCTGGACAGCATGGCCATCGAGGCCCTGCCCTTCGAGGACTGCCTGTGCCAGATGCTAGACCTGGTCAAGCCGCAGAGCGAAGGTGAGGCGTGTGGGGCGACCCGGGGAGGGACAGCAGGAGGGCCTGCAAGGAGACCCCCAGGTGGGCTGCCCATTGCCAGGTGCCAGCACCGGGCCCCATCTGCAGCACGGGTGGACACCCGAGGAGGCCATGGGAAGGCCCATCCCTGTGGACTTGGGACCAGGTCCTCACTGAGGGTGTCCCAGGAGGCAGCACGTGCCATCACTGGGGATGGGCGCTCAGTGCAGGGTTCAGCCCTGCCTGGTGTGGACACCACCAGGTCCACTGTCCCTCCCAGCTGTCCTGCCCAGCTGTCCCAGCCCTGTCATCTCCCCGTCCTCTGAGGTCACAGGGCAGGAGGCGTGGCCTCAAACCCAGGCCTGGAGAGGAGGGGCTCCCTGCACCTTAGAGACAGGAGGACCCCCTGCTCCCTAGAGAGAGAGGGGGCTCCCTGCACCCTATATAGAGAGGAGGGGGCTCCCCGCACCTTAGAGAGGAGGGGCTCCCCACACCCCAGAGACAGGAGGACCCCCTGCTCCCTAGAGAGGAGGGGTCCCTGCACCCTAGAGAGAGGAGGGCTCCCCGCACCACCACCTGGTTTTTCCCGTACCCTTTGGAGGTGACCAGGTCTCTGAGGACGGCGCAGGCGCCTGCTGTCCCTTCCTCTGAAGTGCCTCCGCCCCCCTGGCCAGGCCCCCCGGGGTCCTGGACAGCTCAGATGGTCTTGGGCTGGGGTGTCTGGGTGGCTGCCTGCCCCTGGTCCCAAGGTTCGGTCCCCTCGGGCGCTCAAGGTAGCAGGGCTGCTGGCCCAGGGCCTCAGGGGCTCAGCAGGCCGGGTGCCCGCGCCAGTCCTCCGGCTGCGCCTGGGGCACAAGTGCCCCCCTGCGCCCTCAGCCCCCCCCCCGCCACGGCCCGCCTGTGTCCAAAGGCCCCTCCCGCCCTCGTCCCTCTGTCCGGCAGGCAAGATCACCCTGCGCGACCTCAAGCACTGTAAGCTGGCCAGCGTCTTCTTCGACACCTTCTTCAACATCGAGAAGTACCTGGGCCACGAGCAGAAAGAGCAGGCGTCCCTGCTGCGGGTGAGTGCCCCCCCCCCCCGCCGGCTGCCGCTGACCGCGGGGCCTCCCGACCCCAACGGCTCCCTCTCTCCGGCAGGAGAGCGAGAGCGAGGGCCCCGAGCTGTCCGACTGGGAGAAGTACGCCGCGGAGGAGTACGACATCCTGGTGGCCGAGGAGGCCGCGGGGGAGCCCTGGGACGACGGGTGAGCGCCGCCGCCAGCGCGGGCTCAGTGGGAGGGGACAGCGCCCGCCATCCTGTGTGGTCGGACATGTGGGGCGGACCTCCCCGCCGGACCCTGACGCGCGCGTGCCCCTGGGGAGCCCTGATGTCTGGTGCCCTGGTCACCTCTGACATGAGCCAGCAGTCACTCCTGTCATCAGGCCGCACCCGGGAGCGGGAACACCCACCTGCGGCCGGGCCTTGGTGAATCCCGGCTGTGCGTGTTGGCAGGGGACTGGACGGGGAGGCCGAGTCCAGTGTAGCCCGCGGGTCCTCTCCCTGGGCTGCGGCGGGCAGGTTGACAGGTCAGAGGGCACCGGCTGTTTCCACCGGGACCCAGTTCACCGTCTGCTCGCCCCCGGGTCTGGGTGACTGGCCTCCTGGCGGTCCTGGGGCCCAGCTGGCCTTGGCATGGGAGCTCCTGAGGCCCAAGGCTCTGGCACACCCCGTTGGGGGCACTGGGGCGCTCTGGGCAGGGCAAGCCAATGCCACTCTGCCACCTGCATGGGCTGCCCCCGGTGCCGACTGCAGCCTGAGGCTCCGCCTGAGGTCCCCTGGCGCAAGGGTCCCTGGGCCTGGCTCAGCCCCTCAGTGTGTGGGAGACTCCAAGGCCCGGCCCTCCTGGCTGTCCAGGGCCATCTGTGGAGTCCAAGTCCCTGGGGCCACCTGGCTGGGCTCCAGGGGCACCAAGTGGCACCTGGATGAGACACCCGCACTGCAGGGAGCTGCCCCCAGGAGTCTGTCCGTCCCCACGTGTGTCTTTCCTTGTACCTCCCTGGTCACTCCTGACATTGGCAGGACGCAGTGACCCCACGCGCTCATGGTGGCTGGGTCTTTAGTTCAGGGATCTTCTCAGCAACCCCTGGGGGCCACCTCCCTGGTGTCCCCTGGCTCCCGCTGCAGAGACCCCCTCCATGCCTGGGGTGGACGCTGGGGTCCTGTCTCTGGGTGGTGATCGCTGGGCATCCATGAGCCAACGAATCCATCATCCTGGCCGGTCAAATGCCGGTGTCCAGCCTGCGTCCTCCACCCTCAGGAGTGCTCCTGAGACCGGCCCTGTAAACCGCAGGCCCAGTCCTGTCCTGTGGGCCCTCTGCTTCCCGGGCTGTGTGTCCCCATGTCCCCCAGGTCACTGACCCCTCGGGTCCCTGCTCCCAATACTTCCCTGTCCCTTCCCTTTGTGGAGCAGCTGTGGCCAGTGACACGTGTGTCTCCTGCCACCCTCCCCTCCTGACGCAGCCCGGTACCCACGAGCAGGTGGCTGTGCTCGGCTGCTGCCTCTTGGCTGTGGAAGTGTGGGTCAGCAGCTTGCAGCCACCTGTGCTGACCCGGGTCACCCCCCTTTCTGGAAACCGTCTTGCTACCTCGGGGTCGTCTCTTCAGCTCGCAGGGACTGACCAGCTGACAAGCTGCCTTACGCTTTGGGGGAGACCCGAGGCCACCAGTTCCCACCCTGGGGGAGCTCCTGTGCCGAGGACCCGGGCGGGCTGCGGGCTGGACGTCCCCGGGCTCCCTGGCCCCGTGCGCGCACCCCTTGGGAGCCTGGTGCTGACCCGGAACCCGCGGTCTCCAGCGCGGCGCGAACCTGGCCCTGGCGAGGGCGGCCCTGAGGGGGAGAGGGCACCCGGCCCGCGGTCCTCACCGGCCGCTCCTTGCAGGTACGAGGGGGAGCTCAGCCCTGTGGACCAGAAGCTGAGCGCGCTGCGGTCCCCGCTGGCCCAGAGGCCCTTCTTCGAGGTGCCCACCCCGCTGGGCGACGTTGACCTGTACGAGTACGCGTGTGGCGACGACGACCTGCAGCCCTTGTGAGGCCCTCGCGGCCGTCCCCGGCGGCCGGGTTGGCTAACTGTCCTGTCGTGGACACCGAGTGCGTTTGTACGGAGTGATGATGTTTATTTATTCACCGCGGAGGTCGTCAAGGGTTGTTGACGGCGCACGCACGTCCCCACCGCCCGAGGGACTGACACTCGTCCAAGAACTCCAGGCCGCCGGCGCGGACGCTTGCCAGGGTCAGCCGCGGGGCGCCCGGGTGCGCACCCTGGACGGCGCCCCTTCCCCGCGCGCCCTGACGCCGCCTGCGCGCTGAGCGCCCCTCCCCCAGCGTGTGGGTCGCGAACATTCCGCGCGCACCGCGGGTGCGGTCACGCGCGCACACGGGCGTGCAAAGACGACTTCATCTGCTGTGCAGCGCAGCTTACCATGTGGTACGCGGCCACGTTTGTATTTTTGAATAAAGAGTTTAAGGATTTTCAGCCCCTGCTGGGTGTGTTCACCGCCCAGGGTCAGCGCCTGGGTCGGGGTCCTTCACAGGGCTGCAAAGCTCAGTGCTGCTGCTGCTGCTGGGGACAGCGCTGCCGCGGGAGCCACCGGTACCCAGGTTGTGTGGCCACACCCTCCATGCCCAGCTGGCCTGCCGCCCGAGGAGTCCACTCCAAGACCGCGGCCACAGCCTCTGCACCCGGGCAGCTGTGGAGGCCACTGGTGTTCTCACGGGTGGAGTGGGCGGTTCAGTCAGAAGACCCCCCAGACCCTTGGGGACATGCCCAGAGAAGGATGGCAGAGGAATCCTGGAGGAGCAGTGCCCCAGCACCAGGCCAAGGTGTTCAAGGGAGGAGGGTCTGGCCGTCCACACGCGAGCCGGCAGGAGGGCAGTGACCAGCTGCAGGTGCCTCCTGCAGGGCCTCCACACCATGCAGTGCCCCCCACCCCATGCTCCTGAGGTCCCTGTGTCCAGCTGGGAGCCAAACTCCAGGGGTCTTGACCTGGGAGGCCCACCACCCCTGGCCTAAGAGGGAGCCTTCCCACCCGTGGGGCTCGAGTCAGGGACGCCAAGCAGAGCCAGCAACCGGGGCCTAGGCAGGAGATGGCAGACCCCCCCCATGTCCCCACCAGCCTCACCTGCTGAGGTCCCTGTGAACCCCATCCTCGTGTTCCGCTCCCCCCGACGTCGCCTGCACTTCTGGTCAGTACTGTTCCTCTCTGATGTCCTGGCTCCCTACCACGGCCTCCAGAAGGCCCAAACCTGGACTCCAGATGAGACGAGTAACATGTCCCTGTCCTCGACCATGAAGGCTGTGTCCTCAGAGGACAGGAAGCCAGAGCCTGTGTGGCTGGGTGGGCAGGGTCCTCCATGCCCCATGCCCAGGGCCACGACCCAGACTCCTGGTACAGCACCCAGAGGGGCACACCTGCTAGAGCTCAGCAGTCCAGGCGCCTGGGGCCTCCTGGCCCCGAACAGCAGCAGGGAGTGTCCAGGTGCCCTCCTGTGATGGACGGCACCATCCCGGGAACCCCCAGTGTCCGGGGCCATGTCTGCCGGCCTGGCTGCTGCAGGAACTTCCTGGTCCCTAGGACTGCGTGCCCAGTACTGCAGCCTGCAGTGGATTCAGAGATTTGGGGATCCTTGCCGCCCAGTGCCTCTGCCACCCGGGAGTCCCTCCCCAGCAGTGGGCCGAGGGGCAGCTTCAGACAGGACTCCAGAACCCATGGGAGCCCTTTACTGCAGGGGCTAAGAGATGGCATGAGTGTGGGAGATGGGGCGCCCCCACCTCGTGCTGGGACTACACGCATGTGCCATCGCGTCCAGCAGGATGGAGTGTAAGGCCCCTAGTGCAGGCGTCCAGTGGCTCAGGACCACTTTCTGGACGCCAGCGCTCTGGAAACTAACGACAGCGGCTTCAAGACCTGAAACGAGGCGGTCCGGTGGGGATCACGGCTTGGAATGAAGTGACGACCAAAACCTCCCGCCAGGTGGCGCTCAGGTCCCCCGCCTGCTCCGCCCTCCGCTCAGAACCCCGCTCTTGGGCGGCCCGCAGCCCTGGTTCCTTGAAGCCCTCGCCACGGGGCGCAGGGCACCGGGAACCAGCAACTGGAGGATACCGACCGCGCGACATCATCAACTCAAGCGAGTGTGCGAGGGACTCGGCCGGGAGCCCCAAGGCACCCCAGGTTCCCCGCGACGCCCCACACCCATTCCTGGGTCGGTTTCCCGTGCCCTCGAGACCACATTTCTCCCCCATTCGGTCCTCCACCTGCTCCTTCCTTCTCTGCTGTGACAGTTAACATAAAGTCACCCAGAAAGCCCAACCCAGTCCTTGGGTCTGAAGGACTGTGACAGCCCAGAATTAGGGGCCACTGTGGACTGACACCCGCTCTTTTCGGGGAATCAATGGGGACGACCAGTGGGCACAGCGGTGAATTCCAACACCTGGGCCCTGGACAGCTGGATGTGCCCACGGCCTGGTGGGGAGGGCGGCTCCTTTGGGACCAGGTGGACTTCGGTGTTTTCTAAATTCCAACTCCGTGGCCAGGTCTCCCCACTCGCTGGACGGATCTCCCAACTCAAATCCCGGGCCTTTAGGGCTGGACTCTGCCCCCACCCCCACCCCCACCCGGACTTGAGGCCCTAAAGACGACGCGGGGACCCCCGGGCGGGTCTGGAGCCTCCAGCCGACCTCGGGACCCCTGGGAGGGACAGGAGCCCCCAGTGGACCTCCTGATCCCCGGGGAGGGACTCAGTCCCCATCGCGGACCTCAGCACACGCGGAGGGGGCCGCGGTCCAGAGCGGCTGCGGTAGCAGACCACGCAGGCAGAGCTGGGCCGGAAGCGAACTCGGCTCTTTAACTGGCCCGGGCTCGGCCTCCCGCCCGCCCATCGCGGGCACGTGACGCAGCGCGACCCACAGGCAGCCCGTCAGAGAGCGACCCGACGCACGACTCGGCCCGGGTCCCCGCCCCTCCGCGTACGGCGCGGACGCGGTATGTGGGCCCTGCGGGCCGCCGTCCGCCCGGGGCTGCGGCTCTCCCGTGTAGGCCGCGGCCGCCTGGTTTCCAGGGCCGCACCGCCGCCGCCCTGTCCCGTGCGCGCGCTCGCCGCCACCGGCCGTTATGGCCCGGGGGGCCGGGAGGGGCCGGGGAGCGCTGAGCGGAGTAAAGCGAATGGTCGGACCACACGCGCGGGAGAGGACAAGGAAGAGCCCGAAGATGAGGGAGAGGAGGAGGAGGAGGAGGAGGAGTTGCTCAGGAGCGACCCCCTGCTGCCGGCCGGGACCCAGCGCGTGTGCTTGGTTCACCCTGAGGTCAAGTGGGGACCCGGGAAGCCGCAGCTGACCAGAGGTGACCGGGACCCGGCGAGAACACAGAGAAAGCGCTCAGATGGCTGAGGCGCTGGGGGCGGAGTCTGCGAGGGGCAGGGACCCAGAGGAAGCGCTGATAGGATCGAGATTCCGGGAAGGCGGAACCTGCGAGGGGCGGGAACACAGCGGAAGCCCTCATAGGGTGGAAGTGTCGGAGAGGCGGGGCCTCAGGGGGCGGGGATCCAGGGGAAGCGCTCATAGGGTGGAACTGCTGGGGAGGCGGGGCCTTAAAGGGGCGGGTACCCAGGGGAAGAGATCATAGGATGGAGATGCCGGGGAGGCGGGGTCTCAGAGGGGCGGGGATCCAGGGGGAGCGCTCATAGGGTGGAAGTGCTGGGGAGGCGGGGCCTCAGGGGGGCGGGGATCCAAGGGAAGCGCTCATAGGGTGGAACTGCTGGGGAGGCAGGGCCTTAAAGGGGCGGGTACCCAGGGGAAGAGATCATAGGATGGAGATGCCGGGGAGGCGGGGCCTCAGAAGGGCAAGTGACCTAAGGGAAGTGCTCTGCACGGGGCCTGCGAGGGGTGGGAACACAGTGCAAGCGCTCATAGGGTGGAGGTGCCGGGGAGGCGGGGTCTCAGAGGGGCGGGGATCCAGGGGGAGCGCTCATAGGGTGGAGGTGCCGGGGAGGCGGGGTCTCAGAGGGGCGGGGATCCAGGGGGAGCGCTCATAGGGTGGAGGTGCCGGGGAGGCGGGGTCTCAGAGGGGCGGGGATCCAGGGGGAGCGCTCATAGGGTGGAGGTGCCGGGGAGGCGGGGTCTCAGAGGGGCGGGGATCCAGGGGGAGCGCTCATATGGTGGAGGTGCCGGGGAGGCGGGGTCTCAGAGGGGCGGGGATCCAGGGGGAGCGCTCATAGGGTGGAGGTGCCGGGGAGGCGGGGTCTCAGAGGGGCGGGGATCCAGGGGGAGCGCTCATAGGGCGGAGGGCCGGGGGCGGGGCCTCCAGAGGAGGAACCGAGGATGGAGCTGTAGGGGCACAGTCTTTGGGGGCGGGGACTCTGAGGGACCGGCGGTGGTGCTGGAGCATCTGACTTCTCTGGCAGCCCGACAGCGGGCGCTGCTAGCAGGTTTGGGGTCAGGGGAAGGTGAGCAACAGGTGATGTCACACCTGGTCCCCACACCCTCGAGGCACGAAGGTGTGCGACTGGAATGGCCAGTGGCCAGCAGTGCCTTTTGTTCCTGGGTATTGCCAGAGGGAGCACACAGATCTGGGGCAGTCTGCAAGGGGCTGGGCCCAAGGGAGGGTCTCAGGAGCACGTCCTGGGATCTCCCCACACGGGGCTGGCCACTGTAGCTGGGGACAGAGCTAGCCACACGGTCCTGTAGTCTTGTAGCAATTGGAATTTTCTCTCTATGGGCACTGGGTATCCAGCAGGTGGTGGGCACCAAACAGTGGGACCTTGAAGTTGTTTGGGGGGATTTTAGATATAATTCATGTATTAACTATTTTGAAGAGTGCAGTTCCCAACAGCCACCACCTCTGTATGGTCCCAAAACAGTCTTATCACCCCCAAAAGGAGACCCCATGCCCATGAGTCACTCCCCCACCCCAGCCCCTGGCAGCCTCGAATCCACTTCTCTGTCTGGGTTTGTCTGTTCTGGACATGTCCTGTAGATGGACTCCTGCGGCAGCTGGACCGCGGTGTCCAGCTCCCCGCGGTGTGCCTGTGCCAAGGCCCATCCCAGCTACAGCTCACGTCAGCACCTCGCGTTCTGCTTATCATCCACCCTGGACGCTGGCCCAGAACAGCGCTGCTGTGACCGCGAGCTGGGTCCTGGGGGTGCACACCTGGGTGGCACGCAGGTGCCTCAGACCTCCTGGCAGGTGGCTGTGTGGAGAGGCTGCACGGCTGGGTGGGGCGGGCTCCCTGCAGTGCTTCTGATGGGGCCGGGCTGGGCCCCAGTGGGGATGGCGGGAAGAGGTGCCACCAGAGTTTGGGATGGACAGAAGGTCCCCGTAAGGTGGGGGCCAGAGCTGACCCCCCACGTGTCAGATCTGAGCCACCAAGAGGGTGAGCTGGGAAGACTGGAGACCCGGCCCCTCTTGGTGCAGAGGCTGGGGGACCCACTGATGGCCTCTGCTTAGCTGCCACTCGCCACCCTCGTCACTGAGTGTCCCT